GGTGGAGGGGGTGAGGAGGGCGGGAGCGGGAGTAGGCCGTTGAAGCTTCGGTAGGTCTGTTCAGTTCGCTACAGTCGCACAATTGCTTATGCGTATTTTAGTCTTGACCTTAACATTGTAAGCCTCTCTATCTGTGTAGGTACTGAGCTGCGTAGCTCACCGTTGCATAGGATATCGAGATCACAGTCAAAGCCCACGTCCACGGTGACTTGACGCTCTCCCTGTTGTGAGTATCTGGATTGTTGTCGAGCGATCATTCGATGCTCATGATGCTCAACTAGGCGCTAGCTTATAGCAGTAGTACCTCTACGGCCTGCGATGCTCTCTGTACTCGCGATGCCTCTTCAAGAGCGCACGCGATGCCATTCCTGGCTTCTTCTGCACCTTTCTTGGATAGGCTCGCGTGGCAAGTGTGGCCCAGCTTTCGTGTGGCTTCAAACTCTCCAGACTTTGGACTCCTCGTTCTACCATGTTTTCTTGTACCATATATGCTTTGCTCCTGTTGAGACCTGTAAGAGGAAGATCGATAGCGACACCCGAAGAATGCAGATCCTGCTGTGCATGACGCTTTCGACCCATGATCTTCGCAACGAAGTGCGGGTGCCTGTAGCAAAGGGACAAGAGAAAGCCAGTATCCAACCCCCTCTACGTCAGGATGAAGCGTAGATCAGATGAAGTCTGCATATACGCAACAGCATACGAGTATGACGTCGTGCATGGACCAGCAATAGGTCCAGGACCTCCCTTCGGTTCTCGAGCCCATCTGTTCCTCGCTCGGCCAGGAGAAGTAAGCTATAAGAAACACTCCACCTGCCGCGCGCGCGCGTCTCCAGCTTCAGCCCCTGCGCCCTTCGAATTTGAGCCTCAAGCTCAACCCCATCATCGCAATAGGGCAGACTCGGATACCCCAAGCAGCAGAGATGGCCGATAGTCGCGAAGCTTCTCCCCATGCTCCTTCGCGCAGGCGCGGGCGCACACGGTCACGCTCCTCCAGTGTCGAGTCGGCAGCGGGGGACGCGCCTCAGCAGCAGCAGCAGCGGAGGAGGCGTGGTGCGCGTGGGCAGGGCGGGAAGGCGGGTGGTGGGGGGTTGCCGGTTGTTGATGAGCTTGGGGGGACGGTTGATACTGTCGGCGATACCGTTGGTGGGGCTGTCGATGCTGTCGGCGGTCTTGTCGATGGGCTGGCTGGCGGTGGAGGCGGAGGCGGAAGCGGTGAGTTATGAGGCACTATGGTTGAGATTGCGCGCTCATGAGTCCGATTGTAGACTCGTCGATGCCGAAGTTGAGCCTGGAGTTGAACATCGATGTCGAGGTCATCGTCACGGCGAAGATCCATGGCGACCTACAACTATCCTTGCTGTGAGTATGCGTCATATACCGATATCTTACCGTCGCTCACAACGTCACAGTCGTTGAGAGGCCTACGACGTCTTGATGCATTGCACGCGCCCACTCGCATCTATCCGGCAACGCGCGATTCGGGACGTAGGCTGCCTTTGAACGATCACCATTCTTGACCTTCTATCACTCTGTGTATGCGCTGTTATGAGTTATGTCTGTAAGATATATTCGTTTCTGCTATCGTACTCTGGCATTGGCAAACTTCGATTCGTGTATGAGACATCAAGTTGGGAACTGCGATGAGGGCTTCAATGAAGGACGGTTCTACATCAGGCCTCAGGACTTGTCACGCATCATGTGCGGGTTTGTTATTCAGAGAGCAGTAAACCAGTTACTATAGCATCTTCGTATATTTGAAGCATGAAGTAAATCGGTATGAAAGCGTGCGACCTGTTCAACCGAGGCCTGATGGAGGGGGGAAGCAAGTCGCGTCGGAGGCGCGTTACTTGCGACTTGCTTCCCGCGATCACCACCACTGCCCGCGACCAGTATACAACCTATGGCTTCGAATCGTGAGGGTCGAGACGATATACTTTGGACAACCTATCTCGAGGCTGCTGCGGACGAGGATAAGACACGGCCGAAGGATTGGGAAGGAAACACCGGGAGCATCTTGACCTTCGTACGTACTCTCGAACACTCCTTTCAGCTGCACCAGTCTGACTCTTATCCTGGCCGCACAGACCGGTCTCTTCGCAGCGACAGTAGCTGCGTTCATTGTTGAAAGTTACAAGCTACTGTCACCGGACTCTGGCGATCAATCGGCTCTACTCCTTTCTCAACTTCTCGCCGCAACGGCGAACGTGTCATCGGGCGTTCCAGTAACGATCGCGCCTCCTGCTCCATTCGAGACACCTACCTCAGCCATCGCGACGAATGTGCTCTGGTTCACGAGTCTCTTGATCTCTCTCTTCTGTGCTTTATTGTCGACTTTGGTACAACAATGGTCACGCGATTACGTTCGAGACATCAATCGCCGACAGGTGCTTATCGAGGATGCCCAAGACCGCGTTTGTAACCATATGTTCATTCGAATGGGCGTAGAACGATACGGAATGGATAAATTTGTGTCATGGATCGTTGCGCTGGTGCATCTGTCCGTTTTCCTCTTCGCCGCGGGCCTTTCGGTTTTCCTTTCCCCCATAAACTTGATCGTCAGCATCTCGATAGGATGCGTCCTCGGAACATTTTCCACCATATATGTTGTGGCAAGCTTTATACCGCTGGCTGATAGGAGCTGCCCCTACCGTTCACCCGTCACATACCTGGTTGGCTTCATGTATCGACATGCGCTTCGTGCGACCAGGGCCATAGGATCGGCGATTCTGAAACGTGCACGAGTGCTCATCCCTCAAGCATTCTCGAGGGACCGCCAGGAGAGAGCACAAGCTCAATCAGACGCCGAGCTTCACAACCTCTCGACTGTCAGTATCCCAGATTCAGAGGCGTCATGGCGGACCACTCGTTACATCAAAACGCGCGATAGAGCCTTGACTCCCATTTTTGATTCCTCCAAGTTCTTGACTCCGCGCATCATGATACTACTATGGGAGTCCACGAGCCGGCATATTCACGAGGATGATTTCCTATATGTCGTCAAAAATGTGCTACTCCTAGCTGCGATAAGAGGCGGTGATGAGTTCTGCGGCCATCTTTGCTCTGATAATGATTTCGCCGAGAGATTGTACTCATACATCAAGACTGGTATCGAGCAGCGCAGTGAAATCGAATGGGATATCTTTGCCCTCGTCGCTCGTCTATCCGAGCAGTTGTATGTGTACGAGATAGATCATCCCGAAGCCAGCACCGATTATACGGACACTATGCTCACAAGTGATTACTATTCACTGGTTCTCGGATTAATCACCATGTTGGTGACCAGAGATAGCCAGACACGCCCATATCCACCATCAGTACGACTCAGGGCGCGTTTGTGTTTGGTGAGAGTTCGACACTCGTTCGTCGCACTGTGCCGTACGGCCTTTGAGAAAGGCATTCCCTTGGCACTGGAGCAGAGACACGTCTCTCTCTTCACCGGTAGACGAAAGGTGATTCAATTATTCACCATCGACCTGGAGATACTACCAGGGGCTCATCCCGGGGGACTGTTACTCATGTTAGCGAGGGGCAAAGGCTACGATATAAACAAGAGATGGGGACTGCACACGGAGTCTTCGTTAGTACCCCTCCACGACGACGACTGTTGCCGGTCTTGGAGATCGCCATTAACGCTTGATGGCCTCATTCACTCCAAACTTTCGAACTGGTTGACTCTCCTTTGGCACGTCATCATGGAAACTGAGTCGAACGAGAAAGCCGAGAATGCTGATCTGGCCCACTTTCTGGATGGGATACATGACACTGTGAGGCAGTCTTACCGAGCGTGGTTGGCAGATATGCCTCAGGTCGCGAGGAAGGCGCCTTCTCAGCAGTTCGTGAAGCTTTTGCAGGCAGTGGGGATCAACCCATCGCGAATCCAGGACGGCGGCGGCCACCTCCTGGTAGACTCGTATGACGCCCCACAACGCGCCTTTTTGACGGAGACAGCCGCTGGTAAGCACTGCCATGTGATCCTGCGATACCTGGTTTTATTCGTGAGTTTTGATACGACACGTCACCACCGAAGTTCCTCGCGGCATGGTCGAAGGTCAACTTCACGAAGGGGAGAACGTTTGGATTCTCAAAGTCGAAGTCCACAAGGGAACACCAACTAGACTCTGTCAGTATCGGTGTTCTTAGACGAGCACTGCGCCTGGTTATACAGTAGTCGAACTGAAGACAATGCTTATTTATGTTGGTTAGGTAGCTGATTGACACAAAAATCTATCGGAGAAAGAAGGTATAGTCACTTTAGCCAGCCGAACATAGTTATACAAGAGCTGGATGATTCGCAGTTAGTGTGCTGTTCGTGACAGCGGCGGACGCGATCGGTTTTCTCTCAGCCGGCGCACGCCAAATTTGATCATCTTTCGATGATGAATTCACGCGCGTGGCGCAGAGGCCCAGAAAGTACAGCAGGTCGCAAGCCGGAGTATGATTATATAGTAGTCAAATTCTGAGGTGTGGGGTGTCCTCTCCGTCCTGGTAGTGGTCGAGAGTCAAGGAAGGAGCATTCGCGTCGCGGACTCGCGACGCGACGCGATAGGGGCAAGAACGCGCCCACGTGCCTCAAAAATTCCCTGGCGCGTCTCACGGCGAGCTTCGCGTCAAGCTCAACCGGAACCCTCACCTCGTGCACAGCCTCCAGTCCAAGCGATACGTGTCATGGTCTCTTTCCAGTAAGAACGACGGTCCAATCAAACTCCGAACGCGTCTTACTCATATCTGTAGATGCGATGGTATGCCTGCTCTCACGGCTCCTCGGAGACCTCGCACCCCTTGCTTAGCTCTATCCCTTCTCGTCTTTAGGCTGCTCAGACGTAGTCAAGAAACCTAAACTTGATCAGCACCGGAACAGATGCGGGGCATCTTTCACTTGCATTGACTGCAGCACGACTTTTCCTGGTCCGGCACAGTACCGTTCGCACACGAGCTGCGTTTCGGAGGCGGAGAAGTACCAAAAGGCTTTGTATAAGGGGCCCAAGGTGCGCTTACTCTGCCACTCAAGATATTTGGCGAGCTCACGTGCACGCAGACGAAAGGCAACCAGAACGGAGGACCACGCGGAGGAAAGCCGAACGGTGCGAGTGTCGGTACGTTCGCCGCGTCGAGGCTTCCACTCAACGCTAGGATACTCAATGTCTCCCAGATACTGCCGCTGAACCTGCGTCGTCTGAAGTTGCGACGACTGCCGTCATCTCCGAGGCAAACGGCGTGAAACGCAAGGCCGAAGAGCCAGCCGCCAGTGAGGTGTGTCTTCTTATCGCATACGGGTTGAGCGTGCTCTGAATCTGTGGGCACAGGCTACCTCTGAGCCAAAGAAGAAGAAGTCCAAGAAGTCGAAAACTGCCGATGCGGAAACGACGACGGTCGATGTACCAATGACATCCACGGAACCCGAAGTACGTATCGTGGACACGTATATCTGTCTTTGAATACGCGCTGATAGACGTATAGCCCACGGCTGCTGCGATCGCTTCATCTTCAGAGCAGAAAGCCACGAAGGAGAAGAAGAGTAAGAAGGACAAGAAGTCGAAGAAGGATAAGACGGAGGTCACAGAAGTACGCACACCGCACCGTATTGCCGAAGTATCTATTCGCTTATCACCCTCTAGGAACCCATCGCTCCCGCTCCCAGCGCCGCGGAGGTTGAAGTGACGCCGGTGAAAGCGCCGGTGAAAGAGAAGAAGTCGAAGAAGGACAAGAAGGCGAAGAAGAACAAAGACGCCGCGCCGCAAGTCGAAGTCGTCGATGGTGGCGCCGCGGAAGCGGAGGTTGTACGGGCTACCGCGGCGGACGCTGAGGCACCTGAAGCGGACGCTGTAGAGAGCGCGGGGAAGAGGGAGAAACGGGAGAAGAAAGAGAAGAAGAAGGCGCGCAATTCGGAGGCGGAGGTGGAGAATATGATTGTTGAAGAGGCTCCGGAGGCAGCCGCAGACGTGCAGGAGGAGAAGAGAGCCAAGAAGGAGAAGAAGAGCAAGAAGGCGCGAAAGTCGGAGGTGGGTGAAGATGCGATGGAGGTGGATGCCGCGGCAGCCACGACAGACAACGCGGAGAAGGCGGAGAAGAAACGCAAACGAGATATGGTGGAGACTGTAGATGATGAGGCTGCTGCTAAGAGGGCGGAGAAGAAGCTGGAGAGGAAAAGGTCGAAGGCGGAGGTGGCGGCTTAGGTGCGCCTCATACGACCCATTGTACCAGTTCATTCATCTGGGCTGGCACGCTTCGCCATGATCTATCATGTCAATCTTCATCGAGGTCCATTGTACGGGGGTTGCTCCTGAAATCATGTCTTGCTTTCGATGCGCAATGCGATCTATCATCTATTCTATTGACAATTTCGGCCTCCAACCGGCAGTCGAACCGCTAGCGGTATCCTCTACGGCGAGGGTGAAAGCTTTACGACCACCCCGTCGGCTCCAGCCTCCATCGAAACGCTTCCGGCCCATCAGTACTCGTGCACTTCAAGGCGTCTGACTCGCCACACTCACCTTGAGAGGTCATTGACGATCCAATCCGGCTTGCCCTCCTCAAGCGATGCGCGCGAGTGCGTCGTGAGTAGAGCAAGCACGGAGCACCCGGCCGCCTTGCCACTGCGAACTCCGTTTGGCGCGTCCTCAACGACCAGACCTACGCCGTCTTCAGCACAGGAGAGAACGCAGCGCTTCAATGACTTACACTTGGCTGGGTCGATCCCGAGGCGCTTAGCCCCGAGAAGATATGGATCAGGCATAGGCTTCCCTTGCTCAACATCTTCAGCATATACCGCCGTTTCCGGCGGCGTTATGCCGGCTACCGCGAGCGCCTGCGAAGCATAAGCCTTCGTGGCGGACGTACATATCGTCCACCTCTTCGGTTCAGACGCTATCGAGGACACCAACGCAAGTGCTCCAGGAAGCGGGACGATGCCTTGTCTACCTGAAGCCGTGGAAGAGTCTATGATGGCCTGCTCGAAACGCTGTGCTTCGCGCTCGAGTTCTTCCGGATCTGTGATCCCGCAGAAGCGCTTGAGGTTCTCGACGGTGCGAACACCGTGAGAGCCTACATAACGGCGGAGATCTTTAGCGCTTGACCAGACATTTGGAGTGGATGTATGCGCACTGCTTAGGACGTCGTGCACGTCGATGGTGGGATACGTCTTTGCAAATTCCGACCATGCGCCTTCTACACCGGCGGTCGAGTCGACCAGGGTGCCGTCCATGTCAAAGAGTCTGGATGCCAGAACGTCAGTCGCGTTCCGCTCCGGGTTCGAGTTGGTCTCATACTCACATCGCTTCAAAGGTCTGCGTGGTCATCGTCGTGGACGTAGCGGTTCAAGATTCAAGCCTCCAGGAATACGATTCCGCCTCTTATGTACATACGACGGCTGTTCCATAGAAGGCAAATAATCGATCGCTGGTAGGTCGAGTCGTAAACCACGGCCGGCGACGGCGTGCACAGTCCGCAATCCAGCTGCGAGGGCGGAGGATCCTCGGAAAAAATACCGAATATCCAATGGCTATTTGGAGGTACGGATGCAAGTTGATGCGCGTCGGCAAGATTACCGGCAGCGATCAATCTTATCGCCGGCGTGTTCAGGTATATTCGGTCGAATCGGTCCGAGCGACCTCCATTCACCAGTAACTCTGGACTGATGGACGTTGTAGGTACAAGCGCAACGTCACTTGGATGGAAGGGTGGCTTACTCCCAGAACATGATCGCATGGCCAGAACATGACCCACTCAGCAGAGGATCCGTATCGGCGTCGGATTCGCGGCGAGCCCGTCAACATGTGGCCTCGGATGAGCGCTATCGCATTGATCAGGATACGAGACCAACCGATACCGACGTACCTGCACGAACAATGGCGTCTGAGCGACGAGGACAGATATATCGCATCACGGGAGGGCGAGCCAGGTCTGCAGCATGATTCGAGCCCAGTTGTATGAACCCGGAGGCATGTTCGAGCGCGCGGATCTATCATGCAGTAGGACGTTCTTGACCACATCGCTGTCAACATGGAGGTATTGTTGCGTCTTTCGAGTACTGTAAATGAGTCTAACACCAATGCTAGACTGGATACACATGCGAGAAACCCGGCAGGAAGCTGCTGGTCAGCCTAACACGTTTGGGTCGAGTCGCCAGCGGCGAGCCAATTGTCCAGTAAGCCGACAACTCTGTTTCACGGCTCTTCGCAATCATAGTGTGCCCTCAGTGCTGAAGAATACAGCACTCTCTACGGAGATACAGCTGGTATATCGTACGGCGATGATCAGGCTCTCTCGGATACGTATGTTCTGGCCCTGGTGCAAAACAAAAAAGACGAACCTCCAAGGCACGAGCGCAATTGTTCGGTACATGGCCTCCTCGGCCTCCTCATGCATTCTGACTTTAAGCACGGCCCGAACATACGATACGGATGGACCACAAGCGGATATGCGAAGGTATAAGTACGACGAAAGCTTCTACCGAACGACGCAGCAATAGCACCAGCCTTCCGCGCCACCTACTCCTCTCAGCCCTCCGCGCTACCCCATACCCTCTCAACCGCAATGGACGCCTTCACCACCATCCTCTCTATCATCGCCCCGGCCGCGGATGTCTCGCGCCCGGATGACGCGCCCGTCGACGCTGAGTCTACTAAGAGCTCGAACGGCGGTGGATGCACTGTCGCGCACAAGCTCGTCATTGACGCGCCTGTTGACGCCGAGTCTACCAAGAGTTCCAACGGCGGCGGTTGCATCGTTGCCTAGATGGTACGCGGTGCATAGCATCTGTCGACGTTGGCAGTATCCTGACTGTGCGGTTATAGCATCACACTTCATTCGCATTCACCTGGGTTTTGGGACGTCGCGTCTGCCATAGGCCAGCGAGGCGTTCCTTCTGAGTTTTGGACTGTTTGTTGTACAACATGTATTTCGTTCAGCAGTGTACATTTTATGATTGTACGGCCATGAGGGTCATAATCACTTGTGACAACTACTGTGCACCCTTCTCCTCCCACGAGAAACCGCCATTCCAACCTGCCTCAAGCGCTCTGGATTGGCACGTCGGCCCAGTCGAGATCCGACTCGGACTGAGCAAGGAGCAAACGGAGCTCTGGGGAGAGCGTGGACATATCCCGCGATCCAGTCGCCGATGTCCACGAGAGTTCTAAGCGGCTCCTGATGCCGACCGCCGCGTGGCGCATCACTTTGAAGATGTTTTCCAGCGTCGTTGCCGGCGCGCTCAGTTCGCAGTCTATGTTCAAGATCTGAAGCTTGGGAAAGTGCGTGACGTGTGCGCAGATATAGAACGCTCTCACATCCTCCTCGGAGAGCAAGGTGAGGTCTTCTAAGACGGGCGCCCGACGCCTGAAGTCTTTCATGATCTCCGGCGATGATAGACATCCCGAGTAGCTTATCGAGCGAAGCTCGAACCGACCGAGACCCGCGACGATCAAGGCTTTGTAGAGGATGTCTTGTCGCTCGGTGGTGGTGAAGGGAGGGATGTCGAACGCGACGGACGAAACATCGGAGCCGGCCCTAGATGAACTCTGGCCGGCATCATCATTGGCCTCCTGAAGGCAAAGTTCGACACCGTTTCTGGTGACGGTCGCGTAGCTTATGATCATCCCTTGCTGCAGTGCTGCATCCAGGTGGCGGGTGAGGGTCGACGCCATGTTGACTGCGAAGAGGGTGAGAGCTTCATTCGAAGCTTCCTCCTCTGGAAGACTTGCATCCAAAAGGTACCCATGACTCGTTTTGGGCGCAAAAGTGATATCTGTCGTCGGTGGAAGCTGTAGAGCGCTGAAGATGCAGAGGTCTTCTACGAGATAACCGTTCAGGACGAGTCGTTCTAGATGCGGCAACCGGGCGGATGTTGAACCCCAGACCTCAGCGTAGTTGATGGTGGTTCCAAAATGGTCTTGCGTCCAAGTATACTCGAAAACGGCCAATGAAGTGAGTGAGCCAAGGACTTGCGCCAGTTCATCGCACGTGTCCCACGGAATGACGTTCTCAAGTATGAGAGTATGGAGCACGGGAGACAACACCCGCAGAGGCGAGCCTAACGCACAACCAGACACTGTAAGCGACAGTAAGCGCTGGGGAGTGCTCTCGCAGGCTACAAGCCCTTTATCGAGTACGAAGCAACTGCCATCTTCAAACGTGCATAGATGAACCTGCAGATCCTCCAATATAGGCATAGGAAAGCCATCGAAGGCCAACAGGTTCAAAGCTTCAGTCATGATAGACTCATATTGGTCGATAGGGTCCCTTCGATCCTCTCGAAAGTCGAGTGTGATGGAGCGAGCTCGAGAGAGGGCAGAGAGAAGGGTGAAGTAAGTGTCGCCTCCCATGTCGAACCCTGTCCTTCGGTTGATCACGATCTCGACGGGTAGATGGTGGCAGCGCTCGATGCAGAGCTCTGTCCACTCCAGGTGCGGGCGAAGAACAGAGGACCAGAGTGGTTGGCACATGAGGGCCGCGGTTCTCCAGGTCCGACAGACGTGCGATAGGTTGGTGCACGGCGGGGGATCGAGCTTAGCGGGATCAGGACCGTGTAAAGCTTTTGTTGCGAGGAAGATATCGATGAGAAGTTCGAGCGGTAGCCTTCGTACAGCAGGATCGGCCTGCATGCGTGATATGTGCGCGCGTCTGTTGGGTCGAGTTATGGTCGACGATGGTACGGGAGAGGGTTGTGATACGTACCGACAAGGCACTGCGTCAGATGTACGTTCTAGCCGGCTCGCGTTGCTGTGGATGCGTGCAGCGTTGAGTGGTGGCCGGGAGGACAGTGGTGGATAGGAAGGTAGACAATGGTCGAACTTATACTTCGGCCATTGCCGCCTGCTTTGTGGGATGTAGCCTTAGCAACTATGTGCTATCCAACATGAAGGGTATGTTTCTGGCAAAACCATGATTGATTCCAAGAGAGGTGGTGTGGCCCAAGGCCATGGTGACGGTCAAGAGCCAACATGCGCGCGCAGCGCGTTGTTCACGCGTTCTCAAGCTCAACGCTTTGACGTGAACCTCCATGGTCCATATGCATTCTGGATGCCACCCGAACTCGCTCTTGCGTCTATACAGCTGGGATCTAGAGCATCGCTATAAGCTGACGAGACTTCTGAGTTTTGATCTGTTCAATGTGCACCATGTATATTGTCCAATTGTGTATACTATGATTGTACGGCCACACGAGTCCTAATCGTTTGTAACAACCTTGCTGTACCCCTTCTTCTCCCACAAGAGATCTCCATTCCTACCGGTACAAGCGCTGTGCATCGCGTTCGGGACCTAATCGAGATCCAAGAGCCACCGGACCTCGGGCGAGAACGTGGACGTATCGGGCGTTCCAGTCGTCGGCGTCCATGATAGCTGTAAGCGGTTCCAGATGTTTGTACGTTCGCAGAAGCGAGGCACGAGCGTCTGCTTCCGGGAGGCCAAGGGAAAATCAGAGAGAGTCGGGAGTTGCCGCGAGAGAGGCCGCGCCCTGAGAACTGTCTCGTTAGGGTTAGGGTTGCTAGCCTCATGCTAGCAGCCAAAGATGTGACGCGGCCTCGGGGAAAGCCGAGCGCCTTTTTCGTTCTCGCATCGACGATCCCCCGATTCGTCGATTTCTTTGTCCCACCCACCTCCCTTTTCTGTTGTAGAAAACGAGTGACGCTTCGCGGGTGGTTGCTCGGGTGGCCAACCCTGAGGGTTTGGTCGCTCGGCTTCGCCTCGCAGAGCAGTCCGAGTCGGCGGGCCCAACGCGCGCGCACAACGCCCCAGATGCGGGGGAGGTTCGTGCGGCGCGTCGAGAGCATTCAGGTCAGGTGACCGCGTTTCGGGCCCCGCCGGCTCAAACCAACCTCAACCCACGAACAAGCAGCTGGTACTGCTCTACGTACCTCGTAGACCAGTTCAGCCGTGCGTTTGCGTGTCTGAGTACGTTCACGCACGAAAGACACTTTCATTGGAGTATCTACTTGTATACACGAGTAGATACGAGCGCGCCGAAGGCGCGCGAGACGCGATCGCGTCATCGAACAGATCGTAGATCCGTAAGTGCAGATCGCGTCTGTTTTCTTAGGCTTTCCCGAACAAACGGGAGAGCTCTTCTCTGATCTTCTCCCTTGGCGACCTCCGCAAGGCGCATCGCTTTGAAGATATCTTGCAGCATCTCTGCCGGAGCACTCAGTCCGCAGTCGATGTTCAAGATCCGAAGCGCGGAAAAGTGCACGAAATGCGCGCAGACGCGGAATTCGACCACATCCTCCTCTGAATGTAGGGTGATTTCTTGCAGCTCGTGCGCGCGGTGCTTGAGGTTTCTTGAGATGTATGTCGAAGAGAGACTTCCGGCGTAGCTTATCGAGCTGATCTTGTACCGACGGAGAAATAATATCAGCTCCATATGGGCCGCATCGCGCTGCTCTCTGGTCCTGAAGGGAGGGATGTCGAACGTGATGGACGGAAGGCCCGACTCGGAGACGGCTGTAGATGAAGTTTGTCTATCAAGACTGTTGCTATATTCGAGAGTGAGTTCGACGCCGTGCCTAGTAATGGTCGTACATGCAACGACCATTCCATGATTGTGTGCAACATCCAGGTGGCGCAGGAGCGTTAGTGCCATGAGACGTACTAAGCGCATCGGCATATCATCCCGGGCTTCCTCCAGGGGACTGTGATTCAGTAGACATTCATGGCTCGTTTTGGGCGCGAAGACGATGACTGCCTTTGGGGGCAGCTGCAGAGCGCTGAAGATGGAAACGTCCTCTACGAGGAATCCGCTCAGGACGAGTCGTTCCAGTCGGGGCAACCGGGCGTATGTTGAACCCCAAGACCCCTCATACTCGATGGTGTCGCCGTAATGATCTTGCGTCCATCGATATTCGAAGACTTTCAATGAAGTCAGAGAGCCTAAGGTCTCGGCCAGCTGTTCGCAGTTGTTCCATGGAACGACGTTTTCAAGTATGAGAGTATGAAGCACGGGGGATAGCGACTGCAACGGCGAGTTCAGCCCGCAACCGGACACCGTAAGCGACATCCTTCGAGGGGCAAGGGTCATGTTTGTGACGAGCTCTTCGTTGAGCACGCGATAGCTGTCGTCCTCGAAGGTCGACAAATGGATCTGCAGGTCTTCCAACACGGGCGAAGATAGGCACTGGGGCACGACCAGTTCCAAAGCTTCGTTCATGACGAACCCGTGCTTGTCGATCGGGTCTGTTCGGTCCTCTCGGAAGTCGACTGTGACGGCGCGGACGCGGGAGTAGACGCTGTCGAGGGCGTCGAAAACGCAATAATCTTCGACGATGATCTCGCTCTTTCGGTTGACTACGATTTCAATTGGTAGACTGTGGCAGCGTTCGAGGCAGAGATCAGTCCAATCTAAATGCGGGCGGAGTACAGACGACCACAGCTGCTGGCACATGAGGGCCGCGGCTCTCCAAGTTCGACAGACGTGCGATAGGTATGCGCATGGAGGTGGATCGAGCTTAGCATGATCGGGTCCGTGTAAAGCTTTCGTTGCGAGGAAGATCTCGATGAGAAGTTCGAGCGGTAGCCTTCGAACGGCCGGGACGGTCTGTACTAGAGCCATGTGTGCGCGTCTACTTAGTGGGTCGAACTATCAGTGACGGTGGCAGAGAAGACGAGAGTCGAGGCACGCACCAACAATATCCTGCGTAGGATATACGTCCCAGCTGGCGTGTGTTTCCGTGGTGGCGAGGGTGACGGTGGCTACGGTTCGCCGTTTCCCTTCGGTTCAAAACCGTGTTTGATGTCCGCGCGCCGCCGCGGTTATCGGCCCGACAAGGGCTTACCCTGCCCTCCTCCGTTCTCTCCCTTCGGGCCAGCTGCGCTCTCAGCTGTATCTGAGCCTTCATAGAGCTAAAGTAAGCCCAGTAGAGTAGTATCTGGACTTCGCAGAGCGAGTTGGCATCTCGCAAGGCCGCGGGAGGTAATTTCCGCTAATTTCCGAAGTTTTCCCACGTCTTGATCGTAGGCGTTGTGCGGTCTGACCATTCGCATAGGGTGTACTGGGAGCTGACCAGGATGAGTTAAAGAGTGAATGCCACTCTATAAGGCATAAGACCACTGCTCCTGTGAGCTAGCTAGTTCAAGGGCTCGTTAATTCGATTGTACACGTATACGGCAAATATATAAATATCGCCCCGAATTTGAGGGACTTGAACTCATGGTTCTTTATAACACGCTCTTCCACTTCAGACGCTACATATCCTCAAATATTATCTCCGACACCATAGGTTCCGCCGTTGGGGTGGCTACTAAGTTCCAGAGTAAATGCTGAAGCGCTGAAGTCGCGGGCAAGCATCAGTGCGTGGGAAAACGTCGGAAATTAGCAGAAATCACCTCCCGCGGCCTTGCGAGATGCCAACTCGCTCTGCGAAGTCTAGATATTACTCTACTGGGCTTACTTTAGCTCTATGAAGGCTCAGATGCAGCTGAGAGCGCAGCTGGCCCGAAGGGAGAGAACGGAGGAGGGCAGGGTAAGCCCTTGTCGGGCCGATAACCGCGGCGGCGCGCGGACATCAAACGCGGTTTTGAACCGAAGGGAAACGGCGCACGGTACGGTGGCCGGAAGAAAGATAGACAAACGTCGAGGCTATACTTCGGGCATTGCCGCTCGCTTTGTGGTAGTTCCATCACCTACACGCTGGCACATCGAAAGGGTGTACTTGAGGCAGAAATATGATTAAACGACCGGTGTGGCACAGGGCCACGGGTGATGGTCAAGAGCGAACAAGCGCGGCGTGAGATGTTCAAGCACGCTCGGTGATACCTTGACGCGGTTCAACCAAGGTTCATGCGAGCTCGTATTGCCATGTCCCTCCGCCTACCACTCAATTGAGCTTCTCATTACACGGAGGCCATCGACGACTGGCCAGAGTGCCCGGCCATCCTTCCAGAGCTACAGAAAGCTCCGGAAGACGCGGATGTGACATTATGCAAGTACGTGATATAGGTGGTTTAATTGGGTACTCGCTGCCTGGCCAAGTGTTCACGCAGCGGGCATGACAAGGAAGCAGAGGTTCTTTGACTCTGCCGGCGAATGCGAACCAGGTGTGATCCGATACATAATCATTATATACAGCATCGTATTATTTGCAGAAGTATACATTATGATTGTAAGCCTATACACGTTCAAGTCAAAAACGTTGATCACGAAACTCCCATGTACCCTGCCCTCTTCTCCCGCATCCGATCAGCACTCCAACCTGGACCAAAGCGCGCGCCACGCATCTCCTCAACCGTCCGGCCTATTCAAGCCCCAAATTGTCCGTGTGCACGAGCAGCCAACGAAGCTCGTTCGAAAAGATCGACAGATCTCTTTCCCCCATCGCCGGCATCCACTCAAGCCGCACCCTCCCCCACACCCCCTCATCCTTCGCTCGCATCGCCTCATAAATGTCTTGCAGCGTCACCGCCGGGTTACGCAGATCGCACAGGATATTCAAGGCCCGAAGAGCCGGAAAGCGGAACTGGAGCGCGAAGCCTGTGAGGAATGCGAGGACGTCTGCTTGCGAGCGCAGCGTAAGCTCTTGGAGCGTAAACACGCGCCGCTTGAGGTTCGCGTACACGTCGAGCACGGAGAGGCTGTGGCCGCTGAACGTCAGCGCGCGGATGTCGTAGCGCGTGACGCCGAGCGAGACGAGCTCTTTGAAGATGATGTCGCGCCGCTCCACGGTGTTGAACGAAGGAACGGTGATCGTGATGCTCGAACGCCCGCCTGAGGGCACAGCTTCAGATGGCGGTCTCGGAGCGGCATCGGGATCGAGGTCGTTATCGCCCGCGCGGCGCTTCCTGTGATCAAGGACGAGTTGAACACCGTGTCTGTGAACGCCCGCCTCTTTGATGTACATCCCGTTTCGGAATGCATTGTCAACATGGCGCGCGAGCGCCGACGCCATGTCGCCCGCAAAATAGGTCAGCAGGTTATCCGGGGCGAGGTCCTCCAATGTACAGCCGTCCAGCGCAAATGTATGGCTCGACTTGGGTGTGACGATGATCTCCGCCGTCGGTGGCAGCTCCAGCGAGCTGAAGATGCAGACGTCCTCCGGAAGGAACCCGCTGAGGTAGAAGTGCTTTATCTTGTGTAACCGGACGGACGGCGTCGTGACGAGAGCCTCCGCATAGAGAATGGATTCTTGGAGATGATTGCGCGTCCATTTGTATTCGAACCATGTCAGCGAGGTCAGTGCGCCGAGCGTGCGTGCCAGCTCGGCACAGCTGCCCCACGGCATGACGTTCTCGAGTATGAGCGTTTCGAGCGAGGACGATAATGAGTGCAGAGGCGAGTTCAGCTCGCAGCACGAGATTGCGATTCTCTTGAGACGACGGGTAGCGATCTCGCGGCCTATGATTCCCCTGTTGAGTATGAACCGGGAATGCACGTCATCAGCCGACAGATGGATCTGGAGCTCTTCCAGCATGGGCAGAGGACAGTGTTGTGGCGATAACAGCCCAATGGAAACGGCCAGAAAAGCCGGCGCGTAAGAGCTCGTTGGCTGGCCCCGGAAATCGATAATGATGACGCGGGCGCGAAGGTAGGCGAGGAGAATGGCAGGGTAGGCTGGATGTTGCGGGAGGAAAGCAGTTCGCCGAGATATGATGATCTCGACTGGCAGATGATGGCAGCGTTCGAGGCAGAGCTTCGTCCACTCCATGTGCGGGCGAAGCACACTGGACCACAGTTGTTGGCACATGAGGGCCGCGGCTCTCCAGGTTCGACAGACGTGCGATAGGTAAGTGCATGGCGGTGGATCCAGCTCAGCGGTATCGGGACCGTATAAAGCTTTTGTTGCGAGGAAGATCTCGTTAAGGAGTTCGAGCGGCAGCCTTCGAACGGCCGGGACGGCCTGCATGTGAGGCACGTGCGCGCGTCTATCGGGTTGAGTTATGATCAACGGTGGCGCAGAAGGAGGGATTGTTTCACGTACTGGCAGGGCCCTGCGTCGAGTGTACGTTATAGCTAGCTTGCGTTGCCGTAGACGCAGTGCAGCGTCAAGTGGTGGCCGGGAGGACAGTGGCAAACAGGAGGTTAGACAAGCTTCGAGGCTATACTTCGGCCATTGCCGCTTGCTTTGTGGTATGCATGCTATCACACGAGAAGGAGTTATTCAGAAAAACACATCATTGATTGCGAGGGAGCTGTTGTGGCACAAGGTCATGGTGATGGTCAAGAGCCAACAGGCGCGGCGCGCGATATTCTCGCTTTTGATTGCACCGAAGCCACCAAGATCACTATCAACAACCTAATATCATGGACGACAACGTATTCGTTTCAGAAGTATAGATTATGACTGTAATCCTACATACGTCCAAGTCAGAATTGCCGATCATGAGGCCTAGTGTACCCCTTCTTTGTAGGGATTTTGTCAGATAAACCTGCGTGCCAGCTGGCAAAGAGGCGAGCGAAGCTCGCCGACCCATCGCAGATGGTGATAGGTGGAGGACGAACGCGACGAACGGCGCAGCGCTGCGCAGCTGCGGCGTGCGCTTCGCGTCGGGCTTGCTTCGGGGATCGTTCCCGTGCCCGAGTCGCGCCTCGAGCGCGGCGTCGAGCTTCCCTATCGCGAACCAACGGTTCGATGGACTCAATACTGTAGAACATAGATATGAAGAGGCTATACATATGATGACTGTACTAGATCACTGCGGAT